CACACACACACACACACACACACACACACACACACACACACACACTAGAGTGAAATGTCAATGACTCATTTCTTTCACATCAAATACATTTTTTTCCAGGTGACACCTTCTTGTGGAGCTTTAGCTCCTCGTTTGCTTCTTCCTCCATCGCCTGCTTTGGTCTGTTCCTCCTTTTCCAACACTTCCCACAACCCGTCTGCTTCACTGGCAATTCCAGGATTATTATAGATTTTTAATCCGTCTCCATTGTAGCAAATACATATCTGATACAGCTGCAGAGGGATTAGGCAGCACCTTTAGGCCCTACCCTTTAATTCAAACTGGAAAAACTGACTTTTCTGCACAAAGAAGGGAAGGCTGAGCGCTGAATGAAGGAGCTGAAACTGAGTTGTTGAAGCTAAACGAAGCAGAGCACTGTCTAAAAGTTAATTTMAGCAGAACTCTATACAAGCTAACATGAGCAAAAGGCTAGATAAAAKTAAAAAATAGCTAAAAGATAGTGAAAGGTAGCAGAACAGTAAGTGAAATCTTAAAGTAGCAAAAGACTAGCTTACAGCTTAGACAATAAGGGCTACCTAAAAACAGAAGAGGCCAGTTAACAGCTAAAAGTAACACAACAACTAAAATAAAAAAGTAGCAAAAGGCTAACTATGAGTAGCAAACTATAGTAAAGAGCAAGCTAACATCTACAAGTAACACAGCAAAAGAAGAGTAGCAAAAGGTCAGCTAAAAATAACAGAACAACAGCTAAAAACAGTGGCAAAAAGCTAAATATAGCAGAAAATAAAAAGTAGCAAAAGACTAGCTTAAAGCTATAAGTAACAGAACAGTAACTAAAAATGAAAAGTATCAAAAGGCTAGCTAAATGTAGCAGATGAGTAGCTAAAACCTAACAGCAAAAGTCTTGCTAAAAGTTAAAGTAGCTAAAAATGAAGGAGCACAAAGGTTAGTTGAAAGCAGCAGAACAGTAGTTGAGAATTAAAAGTGGCAAAAGGCCAGCTAAAAACTTAGTAGCAGAAAGCTAGTCTGAAGTAGCAAAAAAGTAACTAAAAAAAATAAACGTAGCCTAAAGCTAACTGAAATTTTAGTAGAAAAAAACGTTGCTAAAACTTAATCAGAATTGGCGGCTAAAAACTAAAAGTAGCTAAAGAAGACATAAACAGAGCCAGAGCGCAGAAGCAGATTTCAACGAGAACAATAAATGCAAAGAAACTGAAGAGATCTTAATGTATCAACGTTTGATAAATAAAGTTTAAAATTTTGAAAACGTTACAAAACCAGTCAGAGCAGACGTCCGACCGAGCTAAAGGTTCTGGTTTTTATGAATGGATAAAATGGCACAAATTAATGAGTAGGTAGATTGCAAAAAAGACAAATAAAAAGCATTAAAACAATCAGGTGGCATGCTGACTCAGCATTTACACAATAATCTGCTTGCTTTCACACTGTTGGTGTGGAGTAAACACACTTCTGTGGTGAAGATTGTTCATATTAGTGTGAACTGCTGCTCTGCTGGTGTGTTTTTCCTCTTTCTGATGGTTTCACTGATCTGTTCTGCTGGTCTGGGAAAACATTTCCTAAATAAAAAAAATGGGAAGTGGTGGTGGCACGCCTTTCCCAAAAATAAATACATAAATACATAAATAC